GTACAGAGACGCAGGCCTGTTTCACGCCCACTTGCTCCACAGTGGGATTTAATGCTGGTCCTGCAGGCCCTGATCAAAGCTCCATTTGAACCTCTGGATCAGGTTCCACTTAAATTCTTGTCTCTTAAAACAGCCCTGCTGCTGGCGTTAACATCCGCTAAGAGAGTGAGTGATTTATCTGCCTTCTCTGTCGCACCGTCATGTCTCAGAATTCAGGCTGATGGCAGCTCAGCTGATTTAAGACCAAATCCAGCTTTTATGCCTAAAACATCACGAGCTCTTTTAAATCGAGTGATATCGTTGGAGGGGTTTTTCTCCCCCCCCCCCCCCCACAGATCAGAAGAAGTAGCGTCTTTTCATCTTCTCTGTCCGGTGCGGGCGTTGACGTGTTACATAGCGTGCACAGCTGCAATGCGTCAAACTCAACATTTGTTTGTGCATTATAGAGATGCATCTGCAGGTCGCCCGTTATCTACCCAGCGCTTGTCACACTGACTGTGCGAGGCCATTTCTGAAGCCTACAGAGCATCAGATTTAGAGCCACCTGTCAACCTCAGAGCACACTTGACCAGGGGTATCGCATCTTCGACTGCCTTGCATATTGGTATGACAATGCAGGACATTTGCACTGCGGCCGCGTGGTCAACACCCTGCTCATTCATTCGCTTTTATCTACGTGATGTGACGGTTCGTTCCATGACACATTCTGTCCTTAGTGTTTACAGAATGAATATTGTTGTTTCATGGAACTCCGTTTTACTCACATCTGACTGCATGCATTACAGTGTGAGATGTTGTTATCAATCTCAAGTTGTGATTGTTATTTTGGTTCTATTGTCACTAATCAGTTCACGACTATTGTTACCAATCAGTTCATTTGATTAATAATCAGTTCACTTGTTAAAATTAATCTGTTCATACTGTTCAGGCGTAAACTGGTTGGTTCATGACTCTTTTCAACATTTTTTCCCTTCCCGTTGAAGTTTACGGGGCGTTCATGCATTCAGAACGCATAGTTACACAACATGCGTCTGTGCATGGCACACATAATTGCACAATGCGTTATTACGCACATGGGGAGCTGAGTGACAAGACGTTTTTTGGGCAAGCTTCTGCTTCATACGGTGTTCGAATGGACCCAGTGAGGCAAGGACAACATCCGCTTCGCCTTTAACCCATCAGCGACAGCCTTAAAGGGCGAAGCCTATACGAAATAGAACGTTGGTTACGTACTGTAACCCCAGATTCTATGAGTATAGGCGTAGCCCTTTAAGCGTCGGGCCTCACTGGCTCCTGAATGGCTGAAGAAAAAGCTATTTTGGGAGGCGATTTCCCACTCTTAACATAATTTATACGGACCGGGTGGGGCCCACACAGCAGGTGGGCGTGGACTAAATTTTTCAGAGCAATGCTTCGCATATCGGGATAAACCCATCAGCGACAGCCTTAAAGGGCTACGCCTATACTCATAGAATCTGGGATTACAGTACGTAACCAACGTTTTTGCTGATTCATGGATTAATCGAAAAAATAATCGACCGATGAATCGATTATTGAAATAATCATTAGTTGCAGCCCTAGTTTGAGATAAGAAATAATTATGTTTTGCAGCTTTTGAAGTTGTACAATTATTCCGCAGCTGAAAAAATTGCAAGCAGTTAGTGTATGAGCCACATTTTCTGGCTGCAGCCCTACGATGATCTCTCCTGTGCAGAAGGTCAGCTGACGCAGGAGTAAACCATGGGCTGTCTCGTCCTTTTTTCAAAACTGGAAAAAAGGAGCATGTTTATTTACAAAATAGATTAAACTACTCTGCAAATGGTTCCAAGCAGCGTTCACATCATCGGTTAATAGAACGAGGCCAATCAAAATGGGACAAGTACCAAAGGAATGCCTGTTCACAAAAATATCCTGATGCATGCTCAATAATCCAGGTAGAAAAATCCAAAATAGTTCAATCTGGGCCTCTGGACATTCAAAAAAAACAAAAAACAAAACAAAGCAAAAAAAATCTAGAAACGTTTCGTCTCTCATCCAAGAGACTTCCTCAGTCTGAGGTGCTGTTTTCAGCTCAGTCTCTTAAATAGCACCTTCTCAGGGTGGATCAACCAGTTTTGCTGCTGACTACCAAAACCAACTGATCACATGCTCAAGAAGGACCTTCAGCCTAACAATGGATCATTAGCACACTGATGGCTGTTTACTACTTACAGAGGGCTGAGTGATACTAGCAATCACAGCATTGTAAGAGGGGGACAGTTGAACCCGGACTACGGCAAAGACTGGTTCATCCCAAAGATCCAGTCCCCCGGCACAAACAGAGTTATGTTGTGTATGCTGTTCAGTGTCAGGAGGGCTGTGATCAGTCTTACATCGGGGAAACAAAACAGCCACTGGCCAAAAGGATGGCCCAGCACAGAAGATCAACATCATCAGGCCAGGACTCTGCGGTCTACACTCATCTCCAGGTCAGCGGTCACTCTTTCAGGGATGAAGATGTGCACATCCTGGATAGAGAGGAACAATGGTTTGAGAGAGGAGTAAAGGAGGCCATCTTTGTGAAAAGAAATCGTCCATCATTAAACAGGGGTGGAGGCCTCCGGGTTCAACTGTCCCCCTCTTACAATGCTGTGATTGCTAGTATCACTCAGCCCTCTGTGAGTAGTAAACAGCCATCAGTGTGCTAATGATCCATTGTTAGGCTGATGGTCCTTCTTGAGCATGTGATCAGTTGGTTTTGGTTGTCAGCAGCAAAACTGGTTGATCCACCCTGAGAAGGTGCTATTTAAGAGACTGAGCTGAAAACAGCACCTCAGACTGAGGAAGTCTCTTGGATGAGAGACGAAACGTTTCTAGATTTTTTTTTTGCTTTGTTTTGTTTTTTGTTTTTTTTGAATGTCCAGAGGACCAGATTGAACTTTTTTGGATGTTCACAAAAATGTTTCAAATCCCTTTTTTGAATTAATCTGGGCTTGGGGTGAGGTAGTTTAATGTCTCTGATAACTCCAGTAATGCAATGGTCACTCATTTCATCAGCAAAAACACTCAAACCAGGGAATTGATGGGGCATATTTGTTAAAAAGAGGTCTAAAATGGAAGATGTTTCAGGACAATGCTTGTTAGGTCTGGTGGGAGTGTCAATGATTTGGGTCAGATTAAGTGACAAGCAACATTCCTTGAATTTATCACAGAGTGGGCACTATATTTTCCAGTCAACACTGAAATCTCCAGCGAGGAGGATTTCATTGAATTGTAAATTTGCTAGGAAGTCTGACAGAGAGGACAGAGTCTCAGAGATTGCTGGGGAGGTGGAGATAACAGCCCACGACTAGGGGTGGGCGATATGGCTCAAATATAATATTGTGATATTTCAGAGCATTCTGATGATAATGATAAATTTTAGTGATATAAAAAAAAAATCATAGTTATTGATTTGACAAAATTAACTTAACATGTTGCTTTGTAGTATTTTATAAAAACTAAAAAAAGTAAGGGTTAATTTTAATGAAATTACATTATTTATTAAAGTGTTCAGTCTCAAAGTATAAAAATAAAAAATAAAAATGATCCTTCAGCTATTTAGATTGAAAACGTCTGCACAAAATATAGATCAACAAAATCAACCACAAAAACTAAATTGCAGGTGCAGTTTCCCAAAATAACTAAACAAAATGAAGCTTAAGATTTGTTGAGCATAAATGTAACCTAAAACAAAATATATGTTGCCTTTAAATGAGCTAAACCTTCCAAAACTTGTAACATAGTGATCAGCTGACCCTGCAGCTTGTGATGCGTTTCTGCTTCCTCGCAGGAATGATTCCATTTCTCTGATGCTTTGTCTTTGATCACCTGCCCCTGTTCTTGGTCCACGGACTGTGGAACTAAAATCACAGCTGAGCTGCGCGTGTTTGTACCGGTAGTTTACAGTGGGGTGGGGGTGAGGGAGCGATAACTGAGCTGTGGACTGTCTGTACCTGCAGTTTAGAACTCAGTGGAGAAACGCAGCTGAGCTGCACGTTGGTTGTTTTTAGCTTTTTAGCTAGCTAGTAGCCAGTACTGACAGATGAGGTGGGGGGGTGCGCAGTTCACTTCGGTAGTTTGGCACACTCGGTTCTGGTAACGAGGTGGGGCACCCCACTTGTTAGGGAAACACTGATGTATTATGTCATGAAATTAGTACATCATAAAATAATTTATTTTCCCGGGCAAGCTTTTTTACCAGTATTATCGTGAACTATATGATATGGCCCAGCCCTACCCACGACAGATAAAATCTGGCTTCCATGCAAAGTAATGTTTACTACTAGGGAATTAAACTGATTTGGGATTGATTTAGCAGACACCAGTTGAGAATACAGGCTTGTTCTGATGTAAATGGTGGTCCAACTGCAGTTTGAATTGAGCTTCGGGGAGCTCCAGCACCCTGATGCAGACAAATCACTCCAGCTGTTCTGGTGTTGAACCTAAGTCCACATCAAGAAACGGAGAGAGCTGCCAGAGAGTCCACTCATTCTGGAAGGCATGATCCTGGCTCGGTTTGGATCAACAGAGGTCTGATCCAGGTGAGAAAAGAAAAAAAAAGACGTCAGGTAGAGCCCTCCACGGGTTCAGGGTCTGTCCGAACCGAGCTTAATGAAGCTCAAATGAGCTCAATGATGAAAAAACTCGTGAGGGAGTTTTTCCTTTCCACTGTTGCCTTCGTGCTTGCTCAAGATGAGAGTTCTGCGATGGAGTTAAATTCAAAGCGGTCTGCTCCTCAGATAAATAGTGTTAACTTATTACTTTGTAAATATGAATGTTTCAGTTCAGTGCCCTGAGACAACTTCTGCTGTGACTTGGCGCTATATAAACTGAACTGAAACTGAATTGAAACCCAGAACCCAAGGGAAAAAAAAATTATATTTTTTTACATTTATAAACTCATTGGTGGGTTGGACTGAAGTCACTCGCGGGCTGGCAGTTGAATACCCCCACCCTAGATAAATCAGGGCTCAGATTACCTGAAGAGCTTGCTGGACGCAGACAGCAGGACCTTATGTGCCTGGTGAGGAGTGTTTCCCACCAGGATGGTGCAGTCACAGAAGACTCCCTCCTTCCTGAGGGTCCACAGCTGCTGCATTAGCTGCCTGCTAAAGCTTGGTAGCTCCATCATGTTGATCCCTGCTGCGGAGACAAATGAAGTCAAGCACACTCACTGGTGGAAGGGGCAGATTTCTGTTTGTTTGGATTGCAGCTGAAATGGAAAAAACAGTAACAACACAGAGCAACATTCAAACAAAATCTATTAGTTCATTAGGAGAAGCTTTTTAAAATGATTCATCATTGCACGGACATATTCTCGCTGTATCTCGGTACAATGATAAGAAAGCTTATTCTGATCCTGATTCACAGTTTCACACAGTATAAACCAGTTAAGTTATACACAAATCAGGAGAATTTATTCCAGCATGCCCCCCCCCCCCCCCCAGTTTCATGTTAAGATCAATAAATCTTACCTTTCCTGTTACTTTTTATTATTACACTGACTTTTTTTTACTTAAGATACTTAGGAGTTGATGGTGTGTAGATCTGCTGATTCCTGATCATTTTATTGATTTTGTTAAATTTGATGCTGATTGATAAGGAGTGTCCAAAGTGCAGCCCCCAGAGTGATACTGTGGCCCACAGTGGCAATTTAAGAATGAAATCATTTTGATTCACAGGCTTAAGAGATTGATACAGATGGATACTTTTACAAATGTCTAAGGGTGATATCCAACAATTTTCAGTCAGGTCATTCATTCAACCTTTATTTCTACAGGTACATCCCATTGAGCCTCGAGGACTCATTTACAGAGACCTGATTTCAACAAAGAATGATGACAACAATGGAAAACAGCACGATATTAAACAGTTATATAAAGTTTTTTTTTTTTTTTTTTTACAAATAGGATGGCTAAAAAAAAAAAAGTAAAAAGAAAATAAAAGTATCAAAAAACAGCTAGATTCTAAGGCGAATGTAGAAAACTAAACATGTCTGTATTGGTCCCTGCCAGGAGTCCAACAGATTCTTAAAGCCACTTAGAGAGGTCAAGGTCGAGAGCTTCAGATCTTTTTGTAAGATATTCCAGGAAACAGGAGCGACTCAAACCTTTATTTAAACAGATAAAACACATTGAGCCTAGAAGACTCATTTACAAGTGAGATCTGTTTGGACAGACAAAAGTGGTGAAAAATGACACGTAAAAACATTAATCTAATTAAATATATACATACATAAAGATATAGTTGTGTATATATAAATAAAAACCATACATATAATATAAATAATATATATATTAGGGCTGCAACTAACGATTATTTCAATAATCGATCCATCGGCCGATTATTTTTTCGATTAATCGATGAATCAGAAAAAAAAAAAAAAAAAACATTTTCATTTCCACCCCTTTATTCCAAAATTGAACATTTGACTGACATAGCAATTCACACAAAAAATGGGTTGCTATTTGACTATTCTGATAGTAAAATATTGAATAATAAAAAATAAAAGTTAGTCAAATAGCTTAAAAAAATAAATATACACAAAAATATATACAAATGTGTCTTTATACCTGCACAATATGTAGTTACTTTGTAAAATGTGTCCTTAAGGGAAGAGAGTAACCTGGATTAAAAGTGTGGTTTATTGTAACCTGGATTAAAAGTGTGGATTATTGTAACCTGGATTAAAAGTGTGGATTATTGTAGTGAAGCCTTCGTATTCAACCATCGACAGAGGCCTCGTGTCAGTGACGATCATGTTCAGGATGTTTCAGTGAAGACAGCTGCTGCTGTGGTGTCCATGATGTCTGTCCATCATGAAGGATGTTGTTGTTTGTTGTTTTCTGGAATGAGAGAGTAAATATGTTTTATAGCATAATTTACAGTAACTCAAGAAATGCCTTGTTTCACTTACAGTGTTAGGTTCAGGCAAAAGTAGCTAAAAGAGCAATTAAACACACAGACACACACATATATATATAAAATACTTAATTACACACATTTGAGTAGATGTAATAAATTACTTTAATTACTGTTTAAATGCAATTCATCTTGCCATACCTGCAGTGTCTTCAGACTTTGCCAACAAATTAAAAGTTGAAGCTTAATCATTAAATTATTATCTTTGTGTTAGATTTATTTATAAATCACATTTAAACACTGCTTGTACCAATTAAATTAAATAAAAAGTAACACACGTTCTCTATCGCCGTCATTAATCAGACAAACAAAGAAGCAAGCAGCAGCTTCATCTACCAGACAGACTGACGTTACGTTTTCTCTCTTGAAACAGAACAATGTGTTAAATTGTAGAGACTCACCTGCAACACGAGTTGGGAGTGAGACGAGTTGTATCAGCTGCAGCTCCTTCCTCCTTGTGACTCCGACATGTTTACGTTTATCAGCGTGGTTCTCTCGTGTCGTGTCGGCGATTTTCAAAGCGGCATGCTTCTCATTTTTATCTTTGTGAAGTTCTCCCACTCTTTGGAGGACTTGTGTCGAACAGTTTTCGCTGTGTCGGTCATTTGTAAAATTTACTTAATATCCTTTGAAAACAGCCTCTGCTCTGCCTCCCCCCTCGCTCTGTTCAACTCGCGCTGCAGTTTTTTTTTTTTTCAAACTTTATTCAGGCAGTCAGCATTTACAATGAACTGCCCGTGAACAAAACGAAACGGCTACGCAGCGCCGTGAAATATGCATAATCGCGCGACACAACGAATGGATAACGAAATTCGTTGCCAACGCTTTAAATCATCGATTTTTATCGATTTTATCGATTCGTTGTTGCAGCCCTAACACACACACACATATATACATGTATATATACACACACACGTATATACATGTATATGTATCTGTTGACTCCAAGATGGCCGCGCTCAGAGCAGTTGCAGCTTCACAGGCTCCCGGTACCATCCCAGTTTTTAGAAGTTTTGATATTGACTCTGTGCCTGACTCCGCACGATTTATGCGTGTGAACTATAGCCGAACGGAACTGATGAGAATAGGAGCGGATTTGCCACGAAATATAGCAGAAATCAGCAACAAACTCAAAGCTACGCTCGGCAGAATGCAGATCTTAAAGTCATCTACCTGGAAGCTGCAGCAGATGATATGCTCACATATGATTGTGCAGCTACCCATCCAGGCTGTCACATTGTAAAGTTTGCAGATGATACAGCGGTGGTGGGATGCATCACAAACAATGATGAGTCCAGCTACAGGCAAGAGGTGGAACACCTGGAGAGCTGGTGCAGAGAGAACAACCTTCACATCAATGTGAAGAAGACAAAGGAGATGATTGTGGACTTCAGAAGGAACAAAAACACCTACACCCCCTGAACATAAGAGGATCTGCGGTGGAAGTGGTCTCCAGCTACAAGTACTTGGGTGTACACATGAATGACAACCTCAGCTGGAGCAACAACACCACCAGCCTGATCAAGAAAGCTCATCAGAGACTCTACTTCCTCAGACGGCTGAGGCGAGCTGGTCTGGGAAGCTCAGTCCTCACCTCCTTCTACAGGTGTGCAGTGGAGAGCATCCTGTGCTCCAGCATCAACGTGTGGCATGGAGGCTGCACAGCTGCAGAAAGAAAAGCTTTGCAGAGAGTGGTGAAGGCTGCACAGAAATCTGTTGGAATAAGTCTTCCCACCATCACAGACATCTACACCTCCAGATGCAGGAAGAGGGCCACCTGCATCATGAAGGACCCCACCCACCCAGCGCACACACTTTTTGCCCCACTCCCCTCAGGAAGGAGGTTAAGGAGCATTAAGTGTAGAACCACTAGACTGAGGAACAGCTTCTACCCTGAGGCTGTTAGACTCATGAATCTCTAACTAGAATAATCACTGTGAAAAACCATATCATGTTGCTGCTGATCTGTTTCATGTTGCTGCTGATCTGTTTCAATGTTGATGTGTTCATGCGTGCACATCTGCTCACAGACTCATGTTCATGTTTGTGCTGATGTTCAATGTTTTATGTTATGAGTGCTTAGTGTATATTTAGTTGATGTTTTTCTTAGTTCATATCTTAGATCTTATTACTGTTTTTCTTAGACATTTTATTGTTCGATGTAACTGGGACCCTGTGTACATAATTTCGCTCCACCACATGTACCACATGAGGTGCGAATGACAATAAAGAAACTCTGACTCTGACTCTGATATACACACACACACGTATATACATGTATATACACACGCACACGTATATACACACGCACACGTATATACATGTATTTACACACACGCACACGTATATACATACACACACGTATATACATGTATATACACACACACACATATATACATGTATATACACACACACACGTATATACATGTATATACACACACACACGTATATACATGTATATACAC